AAACTCCTAATGTGCTGCTTATTAATAGTTAGTAAGCTAGTTGTTAAGTTTAGGTAGGATTAGGGATGTAGAATATGGTCAGGCATTAATATGTGCTTTATAAGTACTAATAAACAGCCAATATGTTAATAATATGCATGCTAATAAGCAACTAGTTAATAGTGAGAAATGGTCCATAAACTAATGTCTAACCAGTGCTCTTTTAAAATCAAAAGTTGTATCTGTTAATATTATTTAATGGAGCGACATAATCTAACAATGGTGCATTTTTATTAACTAACGTTAACAATGATTAATACTGTAATAACGGTATTGCTTATTATTAGTTAACATTAATGCATTGATGTTAACATTACCAAAACATTTTTGGCTCATTATGAAACTCCGGCAGGAGAGATTAGATTGCCACAGGCTCAGTATTAACCGGTTATTAGCATGCATATGACTATTGCCGTTTTTTAGTTCTTATCATTGCCTTATTCCACATTTTGCATCCCTTAATCCTAAACCCCAGATCTAAACTCATCAACTAGCTTACTAACTATTAATAAGCAGCAGATTAGGAGTTTACTGAGGCTAAAGTTGTAGTTAATAGTGAGAATTGGACCCCAATCTAAAGTGTGACCAATTCTGCTTCATATTAACACCAACATGTTAGGATAACTTAATGTATATTATACAGTATATTGTATGCATCAGTATAAATATGCATGCCTGATACAAGCCACTTGTCTTATCTACAAACATTAAAGTTTGATGTGTTTGCTGCGTGATAGTGATGCACAGTAGGCTTCTGAGTCACAGTTTCTGCAGAGCACACTGTTAGTCTTCGGTGTGTTTATCTGCAGCGGAGCACAGGTGGATGTGATACGATACGCATCTGACTGTAAATACAGCTGGAGCTGCAGATGCAAGCTCTTGGTCAGTGCTATTAATAGCTTCACACCAGAGACAACAGCATGGACATCACCACAGCTGGCTATTTGCTTTCAAATCTAGCGTCGTTGTTATTATAATAATTGAAATGATATAAAGTAGTGATCAAACTTCCATAACGATTTACTATCATGTTGTTAGCAGTAGAACTAGCTGTAGCTGTTAGCTTTGTTACCTGTGTTCTGTTAACACAGACGGCTCCAGCACGGCCCACGTCTGACCTCCAGCTGGAATGGAAAGAAAACTTGATAATTAAACTCACATAGAAATATTCAGTGAAGCGCAATGTGATTTCTGGGTAAACGGGGAATTGTTCAGTCGGTGCTGTGGCAGCATCACCTGCTGGCTGTCGAACAAAACACACTCACTCCACACAGCACCATTAAACGGGTTTTATTGTAGTTGCACAGTTTTTTCGTTCTCAGAACAAGCCTATGATTGATTCAGATGAGACCATGAAGATTCATGCTAAAGAGGAGCGCTTCACAAATAAACTCTCCCAGCACTTCCAGAAATATCTAACGCTTCAACACTGATCCACAAGCAACACGTGGTACTAGAGTTACAGGACTACACACACACACACACACACACACGGGATAAACACAAAAATGACCTCACTGAGGATAAACAACACGACTGAAAAAATATTGGAATGTCCTGCCAATACTAGATATGCTTTATTTAAATATAAAGGGGCTCTTCGAGCTGATAAAAACAACTAAAGACACAAATATTAAGAAGAACATATCTTATTCTGCCTGTGGAAATTTTAAGCCAATAGTAAACATCATTCAGAGTCAGGAATTCTTTCTAGACGCTTCAACACTGATCCAAAAGCAACACGTGGTACTAGAGTTACAGGACTACACACACACACACACACACGGGATAAACACAAAAATGACCTCACTGAGGATAAACAACACGACTGAAAAAATATTGGAATGTCCTGCCAATACTAGATATGCTTTATTTAAATATAAAGGGGCTCTTCGAGCTGATAAAAACAACTAAAGACACAAATATTAAGAAGAACATATCTTATTCTGCCTGTGGAAATTTTAAGCCAATAGTAAACATCATTCAGAGTCAGGAATTCTTTCTAGACTTAAATCAGACATCAGGCAAATATGACAAAATTTGATATGCGTTTTGATATGTTTCATGGGTTCAGATAACGCACTCAGACATATTTATAGTAATATATACACACACACATACACACGAAAGTGTTTTGGGTTGAATCTTAGTGACCAGTTCCGCATCCATGGAATGTGAACGTAGGACTGTACAGAACGTTACATGACAGACAGATGACACACTGTAACAAATAAACGATTCACTTAACTTTCATCTCGTTTTTTTTTTTTTCTCTGTTGCTAAATATGAATTGATTTAAATGGTCAAATCTAACATCACTTGTTTTAAGACATTAAACAAACATCGGAACATTTCACACTATGAACAGGAAAGATGAGAAAGCATATTTGTTTTGCAATTAATGCAGTTTCAAAGAAAAAAAACCCTCACATTTAATACTTCACATCAACTTGGCATCCATTGTCCTTCAAATAATTTTTCATAAATACATTATGCTAAGAACTTAATACCAAAATAACTTAACTGCAGATATTTTTAAAAGGGTTCGGATGAAGAGACCAATTCATGGCTTGCTGCTGGAAACAAAAACAGGCTAAACTGAAAATCATACAGGAGTCATAGCAGCAGGCAATGCAGAGGTCAGCCTCAGGAAAAATTAAATACATGAAATTAATCAATATAACAAAGTGGTGGCATTCAGGAATAATATCTACTGAAGGGCACTCGAAACGTTTTCATTGCTTATTATTTCCTATGCGCAAATCCCACAACAGAGCGGTTGGTTTGTGCTGCTAGGTTTGGTTATTTCTGCTCTTGCAGAAGAAGTGGTTTGATTGGTCATGCATTAGACTTAGTGGGGTAAATCTACCAGGATATCTACATAGTTGACAGGGAAGAAGCCCGAATGCCCACTGACTGTTCCTTCATACCAGTTCTCGTCAATCTTGCTAGTTAAGGTGATGACGTCTCCTTCCTTGAAGGCCAGCTCACCCTCGTTTTCAGGGTCGAAATCATACAGCGCCCGACAGCAAGGCTGGTCCATCGGAGCTGAAACGGGTCAAAAAAAGGATTGTTTAGGACATGAACTCGTGCACTGCAAAGATTTAACTCTATCACTGCCTCACCTGGTGATCTGGACGGGCCGCTGAGCCCGATGCTGCCATTGTGGTTCTCACTGAAATCCACCGAGGTGCGAGGTTTGGGGACATACTCTCTTCTCGGCTTGCAAGAAGTCTCTCTTATTCTGCATGCATACATAAATGCATCATTGTAGATAAATGAAACAAGGCAACGCAAGAGATAATGCAACACAGCGAGAACAACACCTGAGGGACACATCCTCAGATTGCTGTAAACTGCAGAATTATGAATGAAATGCTACTGAAATAAAACAATAGGTTCACTTGTGAAGTCTCTTTTTTTAATGACTATATTCAGTGCTTTCGTCTGCAACAATCATGTGAATAATCTTCATTTGTAGGCTTTTCTCAGCAAATATTTATTGACCTATGTGCGTTTAATTACATTATACATTATATCATGCAATTCATTTGATTACATTTTCATAATCGATCACAAGATCTAACAAAGAGTCCATCAGTCATAGAAAATACATTTTAACATCATTACTGGGATTGTGTCTTAAGAATTTTTTTTTTTAAATAATCATTTATATTGAATGAGTTCACAGACGAGCCTGATCTTCAGACGGCAAACATTAACTGCACTAGTTTGAAACTGTAAAACAGTTCTCTACATCAGATGCATTGTTCAAAGCTCTCGTGTTTCGTTTGGAAAACGTCACACCAATTTACCGATTACACTTCTAGCTGTTTGTACACAGCACTCTATTGTTTTACATGCGACACATCCATGCATGTGGACTTGTGTAAGAGTTCATCATTTGGTGGTTTTTGTGTGGAGTTCTGATGCAAAAGCATTTTGAGAAAAGTTAAAATAGGTTTTTGAGCACAGAGTATAGAGAAAAGGTGTCATCGCTTCTGAAACCTTGTGTATGCAATTGTCAAAAACTAATACAAATCAAAAGTAGAGCTCTAGCATTAGTTTCTCTCTCATTCGCAGTTTGCATAAGTAATAACATGAATGAATAGTGAAATGAATTGTCACGAACATACTTTTAGCTTTTTAAGAATGAATGCCTGTAGTTGCATTTTTTTTAAATTTGATTTTGTATGTTTGTGTGAGACGGGAGATCTTCCACAGACCTGTCCTCTAGTTTGCTGGAGAGCTGCTGAAGGATCTCTGCGGCCTGTCTGTGGTAGTTGACCTGAGCTTGGACCAGAGCAGAAAGCTGACTCACTTGTTCAATCTGCAGAAACACCGACAGAACATCAACAACTAGCACACATGAAAGCAAACAATGCCTCACTGAATGCATATCAATGGCTACATTTCCATGCACCCTTCGTAGCAACTACAGACAGACGCGTGAAGTACTGCGAGCTCATGTGATCGCTGCGTTATGATGACGTTCATATTTACAGCAACCATTAATCACAGCAAATATGTGACCCTGGAGCACAAAACCAGTCATAAGGGTCAATTTTATGAAATTTGTTAGGATAGGACAATATCTGGCTGAGATGCAACTATTTGAAAATCTGGAATCTGAGGGTGCAAAAAAATCTAAATATTGAGAAAATCATCTTTAAAGTTGTCCAAATGAAGTTCTTAGCAATGCATATTACTAATCAAAAATTAAGTTTTGATATATTTACGATAGGAAATTTACTAAATATCTTCATGGAACATGATCTTTACTTAATATCCTAATGATTTTTGGCATGAAAGAAAAATGTATAATTTTGACCCATACAATGTATTGTTGGCTATTGCTACAAATATACCCCAGCGACTTAAGACTGCTTTTGTGCTGCAGGCTCACATATGTGGACTGCTGCGGGTTTAATCCGACGATACGCTGATTATAGGCAATAATCAGACTATTAAGCATGTAAACATAGCCTTTGCATAAGATGCAACGATCAGTGAAAACTAGTGAATGCTGTGACTTATTGAGGCTTACTGCTTCAGAATAAACAGAACGCTGACACGCTAGTGAGAAAGACTACGAAACTCTACGAATGGAGAACAGCTGACAGATCTTACATCGCTTTCCAGAATGTTAAACATGCTTTGTTCAGCAATCTCCTTTGAGTCATCAAACTTCTCCAAGGCCTGCTTCATGTCATCTTCTGTGAGCTTTCCTTGCCTTTTCTTCTTATAGTCAAAGTCCAGCCGTCGCCCCTCCAGCTTCTTCAGGTGATGCTGTCACAACACAGAGAAAGATCCAGAGCTCAGTTACTGACCTCTAGTGATACGGATTTACTCTTTTACTCTTCCAGTATAGTTTTTAACAGCCCCATCCGTCATCCAGCACGCTCATGTGCCACTGAAACCGTTAAGAGCGAACTGAAATGATCAGTGACACTAACTGCTTCCCACCAGTGGAAACTGCCACAATTAACGACATGCCAAGACCGTGATCTCATTTAAACAGAGTTCAGCGCTATTTCAGAGCATTTCCGTGGGAGGTTAGTGAAGGAGACTGAAATACCACATGGAAAAGGAACAGAACTGTGAATTTCTCCCTTAACAGATCACAAGAGCAAACGTTTTTAGAGGACTGGAGGGGTTAACATTGGGTCACCGTGCACTGGTTTTTGCAGGGTTTCAATGCAGTAATTTCTTATATCTCACCTGGATTTCTTTTAAGTCTTTATCGTGCAAATTCTGCAGGGGGTCGATAAAGTTTTGCTTGACCTCCATGTCTAGAGCATCTTTAACTTCAGCTAGCTCTCGCATGGCTTCTCCAACATCGATCAGAGCCAGACCTGCAAAACACAAGTACAATATATATATCTCTAGAACATCTCTATATTTTTAAGGGCAAATCAGTGAGAACTCCATGTTCTGAATGAAGCCGTTTTTAAGTTTATCCATATACTGATGCAAAACCAACAAATAACATGATCTGGTATTGGTCATGTTTCAAATTCTGTAGCAACCAGAGCTATTTCCTACATACTAACACTAAGTGCTGGTCATTTTCTAAAAACTTCCAGTATGTTAACATTTGACCGCTATTATCACAAATCTTTCTGCTAACTGGAGCACCATTTGACATTTGCATATGCTGCAACCAGTTAGTCACTTTGCACCAATCAGTGATGACACGATTTGCATATCCTGAAGCTGTGTCTCATGAGTTTATGAATTGAAAATCCTTTTGTAATTTAATCTGATTACTTGTGCAATTAAATGTAATTTAATTGTGTGCAGGCAAGCAACGTACACAAAAGACTAAACCACTATCACAAGTGCTTGGAATAAAGGCAGATTACTTGATTAGAACGGGAGAATGGGAGCATGCATCTGGTTCTGTTGCTCTGTTTAAAGCTGCTCTCTCCATGCATGCTCTCTCTTGCTTCATAGACGGCTTCATTTATTAGAAACAGAAGCATTTTGATTTATCGTGCTTCATTGTTCATGCAACTACATTGTCAAAACAGTCTGGATTGTGGTTGAGGGTCATTGATAACCTTGCAGTCATTTCAGCCAGCCGCATTAAACGCTTAATTGCATGCAAAATACAAATGTTTGTGCTGATGCTAGGGAATCTCATCTGTTTTTGTGGGTTGCATTTAAATAACATGAACTTAGAATAGCACACTTGTCACTACTACCTCTGGCATGTGGTTAGAGGCGTCCAGTACTTTTAGGGCATTTTCACACTTGGCTTGTTTGGAGCGTGGGCTTTTTTTCTCCCCTGGTTTGATTTCTTTAAGCACAAGTGAACAGAGCAGATCTGCACCAAAATAATCGACCAGATCGCCAGAATGCGGCTGGTTGTCTTGGCCTGATTGAAAACAAACTCTGGAGCAGTTCGACCGACAGTCGACCAACAAACAAAGCTGTATCATCATTTATAATGAGAAACACGTCATGTAAAAAGCAGGCTGCAGTCGTATATGTGTTTGTGTAACGACAGCTACTGATAAAGCCACGATAAGCCCACAGAGCGAACTTGTCAATCCGTCTCGATGAGTGACACTGAGGAACATGAGCAGATGAACTCGCATAAACACATTTTGGTACACCTTGAAATGTTGCTGTGTGAAAGCGAACCGTGCCATTTCAGAACAAAGCAGACGTTCTACAGGTCTGAAAACAGCCTTATTGACAGACCTGGTTGTGCATTGTGTTTATTAGCATGCATACTACTAGTATATTGGCGGTTTATTAGTACTTCTAAAGCACATATTAATGCCTTATTATTCTGCATGAGTATATTTTAGATCCCTTAATCCTAAACCCCATAGCTAAACTTAACAACTACATTACAAACTACTAATAAGCAGCACATTAATACCTTTATTTAACCAGGAAAAGACTCACTGAGATTAAAATCTCTTTTCCAGGAGTGTCCTGGCCAAGATAGGCAGCCGAGTTTCCATTTACAAATAAACAACATAGTTACGACATACATTACAAAACCAACATATAACCAGTTAAAAACAATTACACACCGTTAAGTTGCTCTCTAGATTACATAATAAGAACTTAAAATAATTATAAGACACCAAGTTTTGTAACTTCATCTCCTTTTGGAGAAGATTCCTATCTGAGGCGGCAGCATATTTAAAAGAGGTTTTTACCAAACTCAGTTCTGACAAACGGCACACAGAGATTGTAATTTGATTTGAATACGTAATGAATGATTTCCAAACAAAGTCCTTTGTATAAAACAACAGAGATAATTTGGCAAATGACCCAAAATTGCCTTATATATCAACAAATGCCAATGCATTTTTCTCAGAATTCTCAAGGAAGGCCATGCAACTCTTTCATATAATTCATAACGATGAGTTAAAAATTTACAATCAGTTATAAATCTCAGAGCACCATTATTTCTATAAGTAAAAACTAACTAACCTAACTTCTTCTTTAATTTTTTTTTACTCCGATACTTAATGTGTAAACCAAAATGCAATTTGTTATCAATGATAATACCCAGATATTTATACTCCGACACTGAGGTAATTTGGCTCCCCTGAGAAGTTTGAAGGACAATAGAGTTCTCTAAAGAAGTTCTAGAATTTGAAAATAGCATACATTTGGTTTTTTCAACATTTGAAACCAACTTCAAAGCATGAAAGCTGTTTTGGATAATATCAAAAACAGACTGTAATGCAGCCACAGATTGTTGCTTAGAGGGAGCTGAACAGTATACAATAGTATCATCTGCGTAAAAATGGAACCTTGCTTTATCGATATTAAAATCAAGGCAATTTATAAATATATTGAATAATAATGGTCCCAACACAGATCCTTGTGGAACTCCTTTGACAACCTCTAAAAGATCTCACTGAACACCTTCCACCTGGACACATTGGGTTCTACCCTTTAAATAAGCAGTGAACCATAAAATAACATGTTCTGATAGTCTGATAGTGATTAGGAGTTTGAGGCAAAAGTTGTAGTTAATAGTAAGAACTGGACCCCAAACTAAAGTGTGATGGTTTAATCTACACTGCAAACTAAGCAACCATGAAGTCAAAAGAGCTTGCTGATGCATTGCAGATAAAGCTCATTATTTTGGAATAAGGCGTAGTGCATGTTTCTAGTGTGTTATGTGTGGGAGAGCAGCTCCGACTCTGAGTCTTCATAACAAAGCAAGCTTTACCAAAGCTGGATTCCTCGCTGAGTTCCCGGCCGAACTTCTGCATGGACTCTGCCAGGACGGCTTCGGTCTGTGTGTAGCCGGGACCTTTATCTCCTCCACGGATTTTAGACATGGAGCTCATCATACTCATTTTGGCACGAGTTGCTAATAAACAAACAAATGAATGAGATTTACATTTTTTTTGTATACTATTAAAAACTAAATCATTCTTCACATTTACCTGGATTGGGCTGCAGGTACTCCGTCGTCTTGGTCATAATGTCCATCACTGCCCTTGTGGTGACGTCAACTTTCTGTGATACAGTAAAGATGGGAAGCGAAGAATGAATGTTACGAAATAATTAAACACTGCACATGTTTGACATGTCATGTTTTGCTCACAGACCCCAGTAGCTGCTCATTCCTTTATTCTGTCATCCATCCATCCCACTTCTTTATAAATACACACTTATAAACACACTCAATATATTCTCACTTAATTAGGTGGTGCTAAACTAGAATTGTATTTCTTCAGATGACCTTCCAAAAGTAGAAAATTCTAATAAATATCTAATATCTCTCTTTCTGCAGGAAACTTACCTTTTCCATTTCCAAGAAGTCTTCATCTAATTTGGTTCCCTCTGCCCCTCCGACCTTCTCACTAACTTTCTGCAAAATAAGACAGGCTTTTAATAAGGCTTTTTTTTCTTCCTTTAAATTTAGCTTGAAAACTCCTGTTCTGTAAAACATATACATAACATTGCATTTGGACCACAGATTTAACCCAAACACTTCTTTCACTTGTACACTGATGCAATATACTGCATTTAAAAAAAATGAAGAAATTTAGATGGAACTGAAGTCTGAAGTTAGAATATCCTGTAGAATTTATTCATAAGAATTAATTTTTATTATTTGGAGTCTGGTGTCTTATACAGTGGTTCCCAAACCTTCCTCTGGAGCATCCTTACACACATTTAGGATGATTTCCTTACCTGACATACCCATTTTAGGCTTTGGAGTCTCTGCTATTTAGAATTAGGGAGGCATACAAAATGTGTAGAGTTGGGGGTACACCAGGAGCAGGGTTGGGAAACACTGTTCTGTTGGTAGTGAAACCTTGGCATGAACACACCTTGGGACACAAATCACAATTCAAAGACACTTGTAATTGCTTGTTAACACAAAGCCTTAGTTTGGGGTGACTGAATGCTCATCACAATTTAAACAATTCTGTAGCGTTCCTGTATTTGCAGAATGCTAGCAACATCAAGGTTATGGGTTCGATCCCCTGGGAATGCATGAAAATGATAAAATACACTGAATGCAATGCAAGTCACCTGGAGGAAAAAGAAAAGCAAGCATGTAGTTCAGAAGCAGCTCCCTGCATAGGTGAAATGGTCAATACAAAATACATGAGCAAAAAGAAAGTTATCTGATTATCGGCACCGATATTAAGCTTTTTTATGGTTATCGGTATCGGCCATTTTCAAAACCGATTTGCCGATAAAATAATTTAAAAGCATTTAAAGAAAGTTTTTGTCAGAGCCTTTGTTATTCTTAATTTTGACATTAATTTTCATTTTTACACCAGACATATATCGGTTCAAAATATCGTTTATCGGTCTACTTGATCTGTAATAATCGATATCGGCCCTGAAAGACACATATCGGTCAAACCCCTAGTAACAGCACTCAATAGTGAATCAAATAGTCATTTGAATTTGAAACTCGAACATTTCAAAAGACAGACATGAGCAACCTTCTACATTGCGAGTAAATCACTCGCAAATGCGACTAAATCTTACCTTGGGCGACTAAATAATATCTAACATTAGCCATTGGCTAATAAGTTTTTTAGATTTTACTCGCCAGTATGTGTGTGAGAGGCGTTCAACACAGATTTTCCCTCATTTGCAAAACTGTTATAAAAATAAAGAAAACAGTTTTTTTTTACTTTTGAAATTGTAAAAATGCAGAAAGTTTTCTGTGAGGGGTAGGGTTAGGGGTGGGTTTAGGTTAAAAGTGTATAACTATCTGTATATAAAAACAATAGAAGTAATGTCCCCATTTAGATAGCTAAGTAAACGTGTGTGTGTGTAATGGCGATTATATTGCCAAGGTGTGCGTAGAGTGTTGATGAGCCCAAATCCTTTCTGGTAATAGGACAATTAATTTAATGTAAACATACTTTATTTTAGGACATGCTAAAAACAAGCATATCAAGATTTAATTGAAACAAATGATCCTTTTCATATTTAATACCATGTACTTTCTAACTGAATAATTTACAGTCTATACAGTATTCACAGAAGGAACAGAACTTTGAAGGCTTTGTAGGCTGATCTTTAAAGGCAAGCTTTTCATTTCTGTTAGTGTTTACTCAACAGGACAATATTTACTTGTGAACCTAAAGAAGTGGTGTTGCTCACGAGTCTCTAATTTGGAGTCAATATTCACGTCAACTGCTTATGAGTCTAGGTCAGGGGTAGGCAAGTTCAGTCCTAGAGAGCCGCAGTCCTGCAGAGGTCAGCTCCAACCCTAATCAAACACACCTGAACAAGCTAATCAATGTCTTCAGGATTACTAAGGCTATAGGCAGGTGAGGGACTGCGGCTCTCTAGGACCGAACTTGCCTACCCCTGGTCTAGGTCAAACCCAAAGTCTCAGACTCAAGTCTCCATCTCTGCAATAAAACATTATGATTTAAGGTAGAAAAGAACTGGAGTTCTAACAGCACAATAGACAAGCGCTAAGAAGGTGGTAGCCTATGCACTGCTTCTCGCCAATACGACCTTCCATAAATACAGTGCAAAACAATATCACGTGTGGGGCACTACATGTGACTAATGTAGTAAAAACACATATCTACATCTAACAGTGCTTCAGTCCAGAGCATTACACATTCAGGCATTTTCTTTCTATATAATGCTCGCGATAAATGTGGACATACAGTAGATTAACAGTTACATTAACTGGCTTACAGTGGCACTAACAGCTCGCATAAAAATGACAACAACAGCATAACAATATTAATTACAAATGAAATCTTATGCAATTATCGTGCAATCAGAAACACCTCAAAAACGCTTTCCTACAATTCAATGAAATGAACAGTTCACTTTAACTACAAACAACTTAAATCAGATTTAGCAATGAACGTCACTTTCGTTTGGCTGAACCTGTCAATGAATTTCCCGGTGAGATCTGGCAGTTCATAAATGAATTAATGAATTCATTTTCAGCTGAAAGCATATAGCGAGGGGTTTAATCTCTGATGACCCACGGCATTTCATTAAAACGAAATGAACAGAAATCAAGATACAGATGGATGACAGCACCAAACCAGTCTCGTATTTAAAATGATTACTGGCCTACATCTGTTAAGGCAATGAAAATGAACGTTGGTTTAGGTAATAAAATGCAGTCTTTGTTTTAATTCAAAGGTTATTTGATAAATGTTGATTATCATCAAGTATAAATACAGAAATACTCCAATAGCTGTACAGTACACTATGTACACTCTGAATCAACCTGAAAAATCTTATTCCAGAATGTTCTAATATACTGGCAGTTATAAAATGTTAATATATTCATCTATGTTAAATTAATATTAAACCGTATTTTTTAGCAGCTTAAGCTTTATGGATGACTTTGCACAGTAAAATGTAAATGTTAGGAACACCTTCTCAGATCCGGTCTCTATTAGCTTAGCTTTGTACGAGGCTACGAGCATAATCTTATTTCCTATTGCAGAAAGTAATAATCTCACAGGAGTGTTAAATGACTCTTTGAGGTCTTGAAATGACCATAACCTCGATTAAAGAGGTCACCAATATTTGCATCCTGATCAAGATATTAATTACTGTCACACTGTGTTCAGACTTCTGGTCTTTCTTTGAAACAGATGCGGCCAATAAATCCTGTAAACGATGTGTAAGCACACAAATAGAGGCTTTTATTTTCCACCAAACCAGCTCAGAGTCAAACACATCCAACCCTGTGCTGAATGGAACTGAAAGCCCATTAATTCAGCTGCAGATGTGCAGAAGGGACAGGTTTTAAGCTTATTCTTAGTAGTATATACTCGACTACTACTTGGAGTGAGTGAAACCTAGGTATTACATTGTGAAAACATGATTCTTGATGTTTAGACCTGTAAACAGTGACGGGGAACGACTGAGTCAGAGGCTCAAGGGAAAGAGCAATAAAACCCTGCCGTCAAGTCACCTTTATTTGTATAGCGCTTTATACAATACTGATGGTGTCAAAGCAGCTTTACAGTATTAAACAGAACAATAGTGTGTCAATAATGCAAGACGACAATAACAAACAGTCATTTTTCAGCTAAAGTCAGTTCATTGGTGATTCAGTGATGCCATCGTTCAGTTCAGCTCTCGTCCAATAGAATCTGTGCAATCAGTCAAGCGTCCCCAACTAAACAAGCCAAAGGAACCAAAACTCCATCGGTGACAGAAATGGAGAAAAAAAAACCTCGGGAGAAACCAGGCTCAGTCGGGGGGCCAGACGAAACCAGCATGATCACATGGTCAAACTACATCACAGAAGTAATGCCAGGACCTATTTGATCAGTTCTGTCTCAGAGCTAGCAGTTTTGTGGATTATTTCCCATTAGAATAGCACTTCTGAGTACAATAGATATGACACAGAAGTAGGGATATGCCGGTATCAAATTTTCATGTTGCGATTAATTGTTCATGCTTTTATCACGGTATACGGTATTATCACGATATTGAAATTTTGTTTTAAAAAA